GGCAGGGGCAGGGGCAGGGGCGGGAGCGGGGTGGGACCGCTCCCCCGCAGCGTCCCCGCAGGTGGCAGAGGAGCGTCCCTGACTGCGCCTCCCCGGCCGCCCCCAGGCCCAGAGCCGGACCCTGACCGGGCAGGTCCGCGGGGAGGGGGAGCAGGGCCCGCCCGACCCGCCAGCGGGGCACGAGGCAGGTGTTGCCGCCGGTGCCGGGGCACGTCCCGGGGCAGCGGATCCTTTCCGTTTGGCAACACCTGTTCTTGGGGGCCGAAGGCTGTGCGCTGAGTCCGCCGTCCCAGCAGGGTGTGTTGAAGGGCTCCCCCGTCTTTCAGGGAGCGGGAGACTCTCCTTGCCCCCCCCCCGGTCCTGTTTTTCCCGCCTTCACAATGCACCTCAGGATGGGAATGTCGTAGTTGCAGCTGTTCATTTCCCCCCATCAGTATCTTAGTAGTGAGGAAAAGGCCTAGTGCAAATGTTTGATGTTTCTCTGCTAAATATGTTAATATTAATCTCCTTTTCTTTTGAGAGTTGCAGGTACTTTTCTGCCCCTGGAAAGTGAGAGTGAAATAATCTTAGAGACCAGAATTCTTGCAAGCCATGCCTTGCATTGGACCCATTGCGAGATTGGGATAGACAGACAAGCTTTTGGGTATCCACCCTTCCTCAGGCCTCACTAATAAATAATGTTATTTATTATCAGCTAACATATAATATTAACTGAGTTTCAACACACAGGGAGGGGGAGCTCCTTTACACAAGGCTGTTAATAAACTTCTCTCCATTTATATCCACTCCTAGTCCTGAGGATAGATGGTCAGCACTGCTGGTGTTTTTTTCTACTTTTTAAAAACTAAACCACCATTCCTTATTAGGATCTTTTTCTGGCTGACTTTAGTTTTAGGTGATTTATTATCTATGATTTTTTAGAAGATTTTTAGTAGTAGTAGTAATAATAACAAGAAAAGGAATTCATAGTCTGACATTTCAACTGAAATGCTTGGGAAAAATCAGTAGTGCGGTCTATTCAAATATCTCTGTGTATTTTAAACAAGCTTATTTATAAGAGCTGGTCAGGAAAATTATTCCATGAAAATATTTTTAGTTTATGTACATGTTTCATTAAAAATGTTTGGGTTTCTGTAAAAAATAACTCCTTTTAGGCTTACATTTCTTTTGTTTTGTTTTTCAATCACTTCAACAAAGGAAGTTGAAAATTGACACTTCTCTAAGAAATTTCCTTTGGGATGTTTTTTTTTTTTAAACCAGAAAAAACAATGTTTCAAGAAAATTTCAATCAGCTCAAAGTAATACAGCAGGAGAATATTCTGCATGGGTTAAGATGCTTGCTGGTGGTTTACAGAGAACCACATTGTTTACAGAGAACCATATTCTTCTAGCACAGTCTGGCTATAAACTGGTCCTGCAAAGGAAAACGTACCTGAGAGAAAGTATAATGCATGGTCTAGAACTGTCACAGGAGCTGGCCCACATCCTACTGTGTCTGCTACCAGCATAGCAAGGAAAGCGTGGGCACCATATGGATACTAGGTTGCATTTTTGGCCTCTTGTGTCCACTGATCCAATTGTCAATTAGAATTACTGCAGTGTATGTCACAAGGCTGCTTTAACATAGTGCAAGAAGACTTACCTGCACAAAACAGCACTGGGATCATGTTTGCCTTCTCGCTTTTGCCATCCCACCTGTGCTGTCTGTACTTGGACCATGACTGTGGTTCTTGCCCAAGACTTTTGGGCATGAACCACACAAGTCAGGTTAAACTGCACTAGGCTGAATGTATTATATTGATGAGACAGGCTGACACTTCCATCCCATTAGGCAAGGCTGTTTATTGTCTGCTCAGCAAAAATAAACTTTGCACCACTGCTTGTGCTGTAACTGTCCTGGAGACAGGTAAATACATTTAGTGTTTGGGGCTGAGCATTACTTTAAACATAAAGAAAAATTGTATTTCAAGGTTCAGTTTAATTTCCAGGCGTAGTTGTGCAGGGTAGTGGGATTGTGACTTCTGAAGCATTCCTCTGCAGCTGAGTTAGATTCCTCTTCTATTACTCAGGATTTTTTTAAAGTTTATTTGGGAATCTAGCTTTTGAGACAAAATGTAAATGATAACCCTGGTTGACAGAATCCCTCTCATTTTATTTTTGTAAATCCAAATCATGACTGAAGCATGAAAACCTGCTAGGAACCTTGATATTGCTTATGTTTTAAGTCATGTCACTGCTATGACATCAAGACTGCAAAACACTGGCTTCTGATCTAAAGCCTATTGAAGTTAATGGGAAGTTCTCCATTTACAACAATGAGTTCTGCATCGAGCAGTTAGAAGAGGGGAATGGGATTCTGGCCTCTTATGGACTGATCAGCCATCTCATTTGGTTCTAGTGGGAATCATGCATACAATTAATAGGGTAATTGAGTGTCAGCTGAGTTCTATACTAGGCTCCTGGACTGACTTTATTATATAAAGTTGGACATGTTATTTTACCTCCTTCTGCTTTGGTCTGCCTGTCTGTAAAATGTTATTTTATTGCACCAGGGATTTATGAGTTTGAATTTAGCAACATTTGCCTCATGAAAAATGGAATAGAAAAGCAAAGTATGATTTATTATTATGACATTCCCCACTACCACCTAGTAAAACAGTCACATTTTGCAGGTATGAAATAATGAGTTATATTTCACAGTTTTGAAACTCTAGCCCTGAATAGGCATATTAAAGTGTAAAGAATTAATGATTTTATATCAGTTTAACTAATGTGGCTATAACACGCAGGCTAGTCACCTGATGAGAGGCTGAGTTCCCTTTAATGCCACAATCCAATCCAATCAGCCAGGGATATTAACCATTATCTTGAAATCAAATGAATATAATTTGAAGCTGCTAAAACATGCAAGAGCACAGAGAAGGATTTTCAGTCAACACAAATGCTTGAAATCTTGCCATCTCCTTCAGATGTGTATACAGAGGAAAGAAAGTGAAGTGTGGGTAGGGATGCTATGGGCACATTCTAGATTTCTCAGGGCATGATGTCTAGCATTGTCTCTTACTGTATTTTCTGACGTATAACATGTACCTCTTTCCCCCAAAATCGGAGTACTTATTTTAAGCAGTAAATCTGGTTTCTTAGTTGGGAAAGAAGCACTTCTGGAGATACTGTACGTGCCAGGCAGCTGCAAAGATGACTGCTAAGGTGGCAGAGTTCTGTATTAACCCTCACAGCCATAGCAATTGGCTGAGCAACATAACAACTGGTAGTATCTTGACAAGGCTTGTGATGTGGAAACAACACAATCTACAGGAACCGCCTACAGTAAAAAATGAACAGTCTTGCTCTTCCTGTCACAGTGGTCTGTGTCTGGGGCTTTTATGTGACTTAGAGTAAGTCCGTGTGGAAACAGAGTGCCCAGGACATGTAGCATCCCAGGAGACACGGTGGGTAAGGCAGCTGGCCCCATGAGTTCCTGATGCCACAAGCCCTGGACACTTGGTGTTCCCAGGAGGATGTATTTATTCTGTGTCACGCAGTCCACCATGCCTCCGGAAAAATCTTTTCTTTCTGCATTCTTCTTCCCAAAATCCAAGAGGCATGTTTTCAATGGGGGTGTATTGTATGCAAGAAAATAGAGTATTTAAAAACTGTATAGTTATTTCAGTTGTTTTTGGTGTGATGAAGTTGGTGGTTTGGTTTCCTTATTCATTTTAAATAGTGCAGCAATCTGTGATGATTTCCATCTCCCAAGATGTGTCACTTATTGTTAAGCCTTTTATCACATTGAATTATGTTATTGGTTATTCTGAAGGGACTAAATAGAGCCCTTAGTCATAGCCTGTAGTATGGAGCAGGATGTAACTGCTCTATTTCCAAAGCAAACCCAGAAAGCTTCATGGGATCACAGTTCTTCCTTCCTGGTCTCCTCTTGCTCCAGGGTGAAGCCAGTTATCACAGTCTTTGAAAAGGTTCAGCCTGACCTCATGCTTCAAGCCAGCTGCTTTAGCTGAGAAGCAAAAGATAATGGAGTGGAGACAAATTCTGCTCATTACCTCCAGGGGACTTATCTGGAGAGCGGGGGTCCTACCCAACTACGTAAAGATGACGACATACCTGAGTGGGACTTGAATCAGATCTGGATGTGGCATCCTTGTAGGCCATGAAAGGGGGTAAAAGGTTCTTTTTCCCCCTGTTCAGCTGTGAGAGACAAAAGCTCATTTTGTCTTACAGCCACTCAGATGTGATCCAGTTGTGGTCTTTGGGAGATGTCACTATATCTTCTTGTAGAAATTATATGGACTAGAATGCATTCCCATGGTCATGGGTTCAGATGCTATAAAATACATTAAAATTAGAAAGAACAACTAGTGTAAAATACTAGTTTAGGCCAAACAGTATGCAAAATGGTCCTTAGATTATAGTCTCTGAAAAGAGTAAAATTGTAACTTTCAGTAGCTAAAATATGCTATCAGATAATCTTCTCTTAATTTGCTTTATTAACACATGCAATAAGCCTGCCAAATACATTTTCAGTACACTAAACTAAAATATATTCACCGATACAGTGAAACAGTCTTAAATATTTCCTTCTAGCAAGTTTATTTCTTTTAAAAAGGATATGTGTTCTGTGGTTATGGTTAATAGGTTTATACTGTATTTATGATTATTTCAGAACCTAGCCTGAATCCCAACACTTCTTTGTGGGATATGGATTATGAAGGACTGTTTCACAGTAAGACAATTCTCCCAGGGACTACTGGCTCTTATAAGCTCTCCAGCCTATTTAGAAAAAAATTTTTTGTAAGTCATGATGAAAGAAGGCGGCTGGTAACAAATCAGAACTTGACCCAGAAATTGAAAAGAGAGCAGCTATCTTGTGATGTGCTCCTTAAGCTTTCCAGATATGTTCTAATGGATGCCTTTGGACCTGGCCTGGCTTGGAATATATTCCGCTTTTGTGACTGTGATGAAGAAATCAACCCACCTAAAATTCGTATCAACCCTCTCCGGCTGTTGCAATCCAAGCTGAAGCCCTTGTTGTTATCTCAAGTGCTTAAACGTCTCAGGGACATAGGAGTGTTGGCTGAAGCCCAGCAATCCAAGGCCTTCTCACTGCTAAAGAAGCAAATGGTACTACCCAAGAAAACCACAAGGAAAACGGTGCAAAAACCTGACGTGAAAGAAAGCGGTAGGTATATAAGGAGAATGCATGTTTCCTGTGTCCTATGTTGTCTTCTGGTTATATTGATATTACCACCTTCATGTTATAAATTATTTATAACTGAGCAAAATGGCAGCTCCTAAGCACTGGCGTTCTCTCTTTTGACATTACTTCTTGGCTATCCATCCATCTCGCTTTTTTCTATTCCCTGCCATATGAAAGACCCTGTTTTGTTATACTATTTGTGCTTCAGTGGGAAGCACAGATCCCAAGCTCTGTGTTGGTCAGTGTATACACTTCATGTTCCTTTGTATGACATAGCCATAGTGGGCTTATGGGCTGTTCTGTCCTTTTGGGAAGCATGGTTTGCTGTTGGAGGACAGGATCATACCCAGTCCAAAAGGAGATGCTTACACACATTCTGCTATGATCCAGCGTTACAGGCCCAGAATGTTGCCTGCTCTGTGCTGCGTGGGGCTGTGCGAGGCTTCGGTCCCTGATTCGATTCAGTGGAGATTCGGCCCAATTCGGTGGCCTAATCTCTGAATCTGAATAGATTCAGAGGACCCTTTAATCTCTCTGAATCGAATTGGAACCCTCCGAATCAATTCGGAGAGATTCGGAAAGATTCGGAGATTCGGACGTAGGCACAGCTTTAAATGTTTTTTCTACATACCTCTAGGTAGCAGGGGCTCATGAGTGCTGCGATGCTGGGGCACATGGAGTGTCCCACAAAAGTGTGGGGGGTCCCCAGCGCGCTCGGCAGCAGACCTGGAAGTGGACCAGAAGCACTTCCAGTCCACCTCTGGGTCTGCTGGGGAGTGTGCTGGGGGGCCCCCTGCATCCCCCCAGCCTGGCGACTGGTGCCTCCTAGGTCTTTGGGGGCACCTGGGGTCCCCCTGCGGCCAATTGCCAAGCCAGGGAGGAGGGGTGGGGAGGCCCAGGGTGCTTCCCAGCAGACCCAGAAGTGGATTGGAAGTACTTCTGGTCCACTTCCGAGTTTGCTGCCAAGCACTCCTGTGGGATGCCCCATCCACCCTAGCATCACAGCATTCATGAGCCACACTGGTACCTTGAGGTATGTAGAAAAAACTTAAAGCTGTGTCTATATCTGAATCGGCATCAAATCTTCAGATTCGGATTCGACTGAATGGAATCAGGGACAGTGATCCAAATCCACAAATCGAATCTGAATTGAATAGGGCCCTCTTCGCACACTCCTAGAGCTGAGCAGCACAAGTTCCAACACTGACTTCAGTAGGAATTAAAAATGCTCAACACCTAGTAGGATGGGACCCATGAAAGTAAGTAGGAGCAAGAAGTTGTTGCTGGTGTCAGGGTAAGGGATGATAGATGGGTTTTGGAAAGGTTACATAGGTCAGACTGGTGTGATTTTCTAGAAGGGTTGATGACATCTGTTACCGGAGAAGCTGTCAAAATCTAAAAGGAGGGTTGTGGTTGTACAGTGCCCATTATAATGGGCTCCCAAACCTGATGGTAGCCTCTGTGCTGCTCTACAGCACAGAACAAGTAGTAATTTATAGTGCATTGTATCAAGCATTTCCGGAGAAGATAACTATCCTACAATGTTCAACCATCAGAACAAACTGAAGTTCTCTCCAGAATTCTGCTTTTCTCAAGATGGACGTGAATTAATTTTCTTGCAGAGTTGTGTTAGAAATACTATTTTGTGCTAAGAAAAAAAAATAGCAGTGCTGAATATTCAATAGCATTTGCCTGTGGGAAGTGGGAAATTTTATATTAGCTATTGAAAATCTGTTTTGGTGTGGAAGATTTTTTTTTTAACTAACAGCAGCGTATAATCTGATACAGCCTTACGTTATCCATTTTCAAAGAACAGTGTTACATTACACCGGCAGCATTCTCAAGTGAACTTGAATTAAACATTGAAGCTTCTGCTGGGTTTACTGTTTTGAGTGGCCTCCACATGCAGTGAATTCAGCATCAGTCCTGGATTGAGACCTACTATGTCCCATTTATGCAGAAGGCTCCTGAGAAATCCTCAGACAGACATTAGGAACTGAGCAGGCTACCGATGTGCAAGGGCGACCCCTGTCGTTAGAATCTGAAACCACAAATGCATAAATTCAGCATCTGTAGGCAATGAAACCCATAATGCCCTTTTTCTAGCGTCTGATATCCAATTTAAATCATTAAAATAAAAAGAATCCCAGGACAACACAGATATCAAAGTACTGATAGCCTTTCCATATATCTATGTAGGTGTGTGAGTACATTATATATAATGTGTGTGTGCATGTATGCACATAATATAATGTCTCCCAAATCATTTAGATAGTATTTAGGATTGTCTGTATGTATATGAAACTTTCATGGGCAAGCAGGATTTTGGACTTTTGGTTTCATGCAGAGCTTTCATCTTATATTTAAAGTGCAAGGGCTTGAACTGAGTTGGTTTACATAGGGACTAATCTAGATGAGTTATTTCTAAGTAAACTGTTCCATGGGAACTGCTTATTAACCAGTGAGTACTGACCTGGCTCTTCCTTCCTCCTTCTGAGCAATAGTAAGGAAACAGGATGCCACTGAGAGAGAGAGAGTGAACCAGAAAGGAAAGTTCGGGCACAAAGTAGCATCCCTTCTTTCCTGTGTGAGTTGTATACCTCTAGCAAAAGGAAATGTAGGGTATCTGGGGAGCAAGCTCATGCAGTAGTCAAAGTTTCTCTAAGGTGAATCATCTATTTTCTGTTAGTTCCTCACTAGCCCCCAAACACTTATTGCAACATGCTGGGGTTTTAAATTGTTGAAAGTTTCCTAATATCTGGTGGCCCATTAGGAAAGCATAGAATCACCAACTTTGTTTTTGCCAAGCTGAATTATGGCAAACAAGAGTACCAGTAACAGTAAAACGAGGTCCCTTTGCAAGGAAAGGCTATACTGATGAGAAGTCTCACACAGGGGAGTATCGCTCATCATTTCCTGCATGCAGGTGTGAGGATATGTGGTCACGTTCTGACACTGAGGATGTCTCTTGTTGGAACTGGGCAGTAGTGTGTAATCTTTATTTGTTCCCAAACCAAAAAATAACCTTGAAAATGAGGTTTGCTAGGGGTGAAAGCAACATCATTTTACCTTTCCGGCATCAAAACACAGGTAGTAACAGATGTTGCTTGCTCTCCTTAATGTTTCTCAGATGAATTATCAGAAAAGCATAGAGATTAACATTCTGGTTAAGAAGTAATCAGTGCTAGGAGAAAATGACATTGAAGTTGTTCACTTGAAGGCAGCTTTTTCTTGAGGAAGAGAATCAAACCACAATAGGAGGACACAGGCTCCTTCTAATACTCCAGAGAGAAAGTGCATTCGGAAAAAAATCTTAAATAAAGTAAAGGTCTGGAGATGTATTCTGTTAGTTATGGTAGGTGATTTTTATTTTTCTCCTGAATTGTTCTTATTAACAAGGACCCTCCGCAAGGTGCGGGAATTAAAAATTAGAGGCTGATCGTGTAATTCTTACTTAGGAAAAAAATGGTCCACTGATTTCAGCCCTTGTGGAAAATGTAGCTGAGGGCCCTTACTTAGTGATAACCCAAGCCTATGTTACATTTAGTTCCAGTATTGATGCATTAGAGTAACAAATACAGTTGAATATAATTCTAGTTAATTCTATTAAACATTTTTTATAATGTAGATATTGCTGTTAAAGGGGAACAAAGCTGTCAGAGGATGCAGAGAACATTTGGATTGTCCAAGTGTCTCTGGAAAACACATTTTTCTTATTCCCTTGTGTCTGAAATCTCAACATTTAGGACATGCTGGATTCAGAAATCCAGACAGTTTAATTGGTAGATTTAGGAACAAACACTTTGGTATAATTCATTTTACTGGAAATGTTACCTCCCCTGTTGAATTAACCACTGTTTTGTTACATCTGTGATTACAGCTTTGTCTTGTGACCTCTGAGTACTGACAGTGCATACTACTAATGCAGCTTTTTTACAGGGGAAATGACAAAAAGCTGCTTGATGTAAGAATAAAAAGACTTTAAAAATGTTTAAACACCAGTGCTAGACCCCTGTAATCAATATAATGAACTGATCCAGTAGTGAAATACGTGGCACATTCATACTTCACCTTGAAGTGGCCCTCCTTTGTTTATGGAGTATTGAAACGGGAGGGCACTGAGCTGTCTGTATATCAGTCTATGCTTTATAATTGTTGCTTCAGTTTTTAACTTAAACACATATTTTTAAAACCTGGTCCTCTATGTAGGGGCTAGGAGGGGAGAGGGGTACTTAGAAATTAAACTGTAAGGGGCTTTTTTTTTTCCTTGGGCTGCTGTCCCTGGCATGAACCTTGGCAATAATGTGCCCTACCCCTTGTCCACCTACAATTTCTCATGTTTTATCTGACTTACTACTTGCTAACATATCTGTAGGCCCCTGCACCATCCTTCCAAAGATGTTTTGCACCAGAACGTATTTCAGAGGTGACAGATTGAAAACAGTTTGACCAGATGATGGCCACCCCTTGGTCTTTCAGATCGGCTGTGCTTCTGGCTTGGCATAATGGGATCCTCGTTGGCTTTGGCTCTGTGCACTACCTGTGGTTAGCAGCTTGACTCCAGCTGTCCTCTCCTCTGGATGGAGGCTGTGCTTTCATTGTTGTTGGTTTTAAAGTTATCAGATGGTGTCAGATTAGCAGAGGGAACTTGCTGGGTCAGTGGCCATGGATTTGTGGCTTCTTATCGGATTCCCTAAAAGTGCCGGTCCTCCCGCTTTGCTCCAGTGCTGTGGATGAGACATGCTGCTAGCTCTGCTTCCAAAGGGAGCTGGCATCTGACATCCCAAACCCTGCTGAGATTGGCAGGAGCAGAATCAAGCCCTTTGGGAGCCCAAGAGTGTAAATGGAAATGGGCTTGGACTTGCTGAGAACCTGCCCCAAGTTCTCTTCCCAGGGGGTCTCGGAGCAGTGTCCTCCCCCCTTGTCTGGGGACTTGTCACCATCTGCTTTGCTCTCAATCCTCTTGTGCCCAGCCCTTCCTATCGGGGTCCTTTCCTCCAGGGCAGTGAAAAAAGCAGGAAGAGATGTGCTGGCTATGAAGAATCGCCTCGAGCAGGAGGCAGCTTTCCAGGGGCAGACTCTTGGCTGCTGGCCCTGGCCCTGCGAGGTGGCCGGGCCGCCGGGAGCGGTGCGTCCGCGGGGGGGCGGGACACTGGGCAGGGGCTCGCGGGGGGTGCGCCCCCGAGAGCTGCCGGGCGCGGGGCCGTGTCCGGAGCGGGGAGGCGTCACGGGCCGGGGAGGAGCCTGGCGCCGCGGCGCGTGTAAACAGCGCGGGCAGAGCCGGAGGCTGCAACAACTATGGTCTATAAATAGGGAGGCCGGCGGAGCCGAGCCGCAGAGCCGGAGCAGCCCAGCCTCGCCTCGCAGAGCCGGCGGGACGCCCGGGGGAAGCTGCACGACCCGTCGGGGCCAGGCGAGCCCCAGGTAAGGGGCGGGCGGCCGGGGGGCGGGCGGGCTCTCTCCTGCAGATCTGCGCCGCGCTCG